TTTTTTTCCTTCCTCCAGGTTTTTTAATTGGAGGTAGGAGAGGTTACCAAGTGATGTTCCCACTCCCCTTTCCCCAAAAGAACCACTTAAATTTTTTTTAAAAAATACAGAGAAGACAACAGAAGGAAGTTCAGAAGGAAGCAGAGACAAGCAGGACAGTTTTGAAAGTAATGTGTGGAAAAACATACAATATGAAATAAACAATATAAAACAGAGATTCATAGTTTCACCTACAGTCCTTTTTTTGTGTTATGCTATATATGTGGAAATATTCTTTTTTGGTGTTTAAATTCAGAATTGAAAATAATATAAAATTAAAAGGGAAGTAGAGAGCCAGAGTTCAGTTTGGACAGGTCATTCTAGACCTACTTGATTTTTTCCCCCTTTTTTTGACATAGTTATTAGATTGAGAATGAATGAAAAAACATTTATTAAATGCTTACCATGTGCTAAGCACTGGTGACACAAATACAAAAGCAAAGAAAGTCCTTTTCTTCAAAGAGCTTACATTTGAAGGGGGAGAGGAGAAATCACATGTAGTAGAGTGGTAGGGAAGGAAGGAGGGGCACTTTGGTCCAGAAAGTTACAGGCAAAAATGAAAGGGGCTCTGAAGTAAGTAGCCTGACATACTCCATCCAGGAAAAATGGTAGAGGTGATTTGATCATATTGTAATTCATGGTTCTAGAACTCTAGGGGGATGGGGCATGGTTTTGGGGCACTTTCCTCATAAACCCCTTAAGGCCCACAAATGAGGAGGAAATACAGTAAAGCATAGGTGAGAGTTTCCTGAAACAGCATCCAAGGAGAGGCAGCTATCAATCACTGGGGATGCAGGGCAGAAGTTTCTCCTGAAGGGCACATTATTTATGGAAGTACATGGGCTCCAGGGACTTTCACTTACACCCCAGACTTAACTATTATTATTAGAGATCATAAGAAAAGAAACATTTATGTTTGCATGGCATTTTAAACTTTCATATCCATTACTTCATTTGATCTGATTCTCAAAAGAGTCCTATGAGGCAGACAGGGAATGGATGTTATCCCCATTTTGTAGATGGGGAAAACTGAGGCTCAGAGATATTAAGTAAGTTGCTCTGGGCTTTTGATTAGTAAAAAGCACAGCCAGTAGTAGAACCTAAGCCTTATAAGGTTTTATCAAGTTGTATTTCCATTATATTATGTTTACTCTTTAACTAATAGCATGGCAGCTGCCTGAATCTAAATGATATAACAAATTAGTCAAAAAAGGCCTTATTTTCTTAAGGGTCATAAGTTGAGATTTCTAAAGCAATTTAGCTTTAGCTGGTCTCAGTCAGAAAGGGAAAGAAATCAGGTTTGGGGGTCATAATTGATAACTTTTATTATAACTGTTATCAATGTGACTTGTGAACACAACAACTACTAAAATTGCTTGCTGAAAGGTTACCAATAATCTCTTGCTAAATCTGATTCAATCTTCTCAGGTCTTTGTCCTTCTTGATTCGTCAACACTTTTGGCACAGCTAACTACCTCTTCTGTCCAGATATTCTCTGGCTTCCCTGTCTATACCCTCTGTTACATTCGGTCAATTTCAATTTTTAAGGAGTTAATTTCTATTCAGTCATGAACCCAGGTCTGGTCCTAATCACATCTTGCCTGGACTACTGCAATAACCTCCTGATGGGTCCCCCTGTTTCAAAGTCTATTCTTTATCTGAAGCCATCCTCCATAATGCTGTCAAAACAATTGTTCTAAAGCAAAGGTCTAATGATGTTATTCCTCTGATCAAAAATCTTGAGCATCTCCTTGCCTACGGGACAAAATACAAATGCCTCAATCTGGTAGGCAAAAGCCTTCTACAATTTGGTTCTAACCAACCATCCAGGATTAAGTCACATCTTTTTTCTACATTCAATGTTCCAATCAAACTGTTCTATTTAGTATTCCCTCCAGAGGTGGGGAACCTGCCCCCTTGAGTGCAGCCTTTTGACTGAATCCAAGTTTCACAAACAAATCCTTTTATTAAGGGGATTTGTTCTATATGGCCTCAAGGCGGCAGGCTCCCCACCCCTGCCACCTGGACTCAACAGTCTACCTTCTTCCCTTTGCAAAGGCTGTCCCTGCCCAATACTCCCCCTCCCCAGATACTCCTTCTTGTCTCAGTTCAGATGCCACAAAGTCTTTTATCTCTCCAGTTGTTAGTGCCTGATTCACTCCCACCTCACCTCAGCCTCTTAGATCCTGGCTCAAATAACATCTTCCTGAGGCCTTTCCTGATCCTCTAAGCTACTAGTGCTCCTCTTTCCCCTACTTAAAAATTACCTTGTAATTGACTTGATATATACTTATTTAGGTAGACATTTTCTCCCCTAACAGAATGTAAGCTCCTTGATTACATGCACTGTTTTATTTTTGTCTTTGTATTCTCGGTACCTAACACAGTGCCTGGCACACAGTAAGCACTCAATAAATGATTATTGATTGATTTCTCCTGAAATTATCTTATATTTAATTATCTGTTTGCATTTGTATTCTCCAATAGGACACAAGCACCTGTCAGGAGGATTATTTTTTGTTTGTTTTTGAATCTCCTGCTTTTTGCACATACAAGTTATTTGATACATATTTGTTAAAATAAATGGTTGATATAGTAAAAAGATCTGGAGTCAGAAGACCTGGGTTCAAGTTCTGACTCTAGCCTTATGGTATGAATTCCTGTATGTTATTCTGAACTTCATTTCCCTCATCTGTACAATGAAGAGGTTAGACTAATTTATTTCTAAGCTTTTCCAGCTCTAATATTCTATAAAATTTGATCTTTTTCTTCATTGTAAGGCTAAAAGGTAGCCAACAAAGAAAGAAGCAGCAAGTGCTTCATATGACCCAACCTTAAATCAATGAAAATTTGCCATGTTTTAATTTAGTATCATGTCTAGACGTAATATGGAGCTAGATATGACTGTGAGGTTAATTTTTATAATGAATTAATCAGTAAATTATTTTTAATGATAAAGTCTGAGAGCTATTGGTCTATTAACATTCTTGTGGATTCAGAACTTCTAAGACTAATACAAGTTATTTAATAGGGATCTTAATAGAATGCTTTAAGGTTTACAAAATGCTTCGATGTCAAGGAACTTATACTCTGCAAAGAAATAAAACCTGGGTGGCTTGTTTCTTTGAAATCACATCTTCATATTAAAATTAACACTGTTACTGTATCATAAGTAGTTTGGTATAGAGGGTACAGGACCAGCCTTGGAATCTGAAAGGAAAATCTGAGATGTGTACTGGCCGTGTGACCATGGAGAAGTCATTTAAACTCTTAGTGCCCCTTTAGACTACAAATTACATAGAAGGGTTTAAAAAAATCTGTATCATGTGTCCATCAATTAAAGAGTGGCTAAAGAAACTGCAGTATGTGAATGTAATATTACTGTGCTATAAGAAATAACGAATGTGATGAATACAGAGAAATATGAAAAGATCTAAATGAACTGATGCAGAGTGAATTAAGTGAACTGGGGAAAAATATCACAGTGACAATGTAAATGGAAAGAAAAACAACTACAAAACAATAAAAAAATGAATGCTGCAAAATTATAAAGAACAAGCTGGACCACAAGGAAGAAATATGATATGACAATTCCCTTCATATTTTTACAGAGATGTGGGAGGTATCCATGCGTGTGGAACACTGCATATAATGTTAGATTTTTTCAACATATTAATAGGTTTTAATGAATTTTTTTCTCTTCTTTTCCTTAAAAAAAAAATTCTTTGCATTAAATGAAGACTCTCTTGGAGGAGGAAAGAGGCAGGATACAAGGGGAAAATCAAGGCACCATAAAAACAAAAGATAGCAATAAAAACCTATTTCAAAAATAAAATATATGCTTGATTTTAAAAAATCTTCGTCAGTTGAAAAAGTCTCCATACCAGGAATTCCCCATAATGATAAAACCACAGATAAATGACCCAATTACTGGGTATTTCTCTAGGCACAAAGGTATCTTTTGTTGACCTCCGAAGGGATTTATAGGCTGTATCTCCTTAATAAGGAGGGTAAATTTATTTATCAGTTTTTGGCAACAAACGTTTTTCTTTCCAAATTAATTTCTAGTGTGGAATAATATTTCAATGATCAATTTCAACATCAATACCCAATACTGAATGAGAAATGTTTGTGTTTAGTATAAACTACTTGCCTTCATATACATTAGCATTTATTTTCTAATCCTTAGTTGACTGTATTTCATGAGAATTGATAAACCAATCTCAACATAAATTTACATAAATTATAACATATAATAGTTCAGCTGAGGAGTGGTAAAAAATTAAGTCAGAGCACTTTTCTAGATGTATTAATCTTTAAGATCTATCTATTTATCTGTTTGTTTATCTGTCTGTCTAGTTAGCTAGCCATCTCCACCCTAAATCCTGCTTCCACACGTTTCTATGGCATAAAGGTTCTTAAGGGCTATACCAACAAAATGCAAATTCTGAAAGGTCCTATCAAGCTGGAAGGGCTTTGAAGGTAGTTTCAATAATGTACTATGTCTAATCTACGGAGGAACCTAAGTGCAATGAGGCTCATTACCAAAATACTGGCCACTGAGTAATGAAGTTTTTGGTCACAACAACTCAGAAAGATGGTTTAATGTATTCAGGAGTCGCAATCTGTGTTGGTGGAGGGAATCTGCACACTGATGAACTCATGGAACTCAAAGTACTAAAGTGAAGATAAGTCATACTTAAGAATAAAATTATTATTTTCTTCCAGAAACTAAACAGTGACTATTATTATTTCTAATTTATTGAAATATTTTTTATGTATCAGCATCCTTTAAAATAGGTAGATTTTGAATTTTTTTTTAAGTTACAGATGCAGAACAATTAGAGCCTAGTTGTAAGTTTAAAAACAGAAATAAAAAAATTTAACATTCTTTGTCACATAACATGTTTACATGGAACATGGCTCTCAAGCATTAATCTTGTAGAGAACTGGCAGCTCACCTGGTTCCTGTCCCGGGCATTTGTGTACCTAATCTTCTGTATGAAGTAAAATATCAGCCATGCTGAAGAAATAATCATCAAAACAATAAAGGATATTGACACGAAGACTAGAGAACCACGGCTGAAGTTCTTTGCTGGTATACGAGTCCCAACAGCTATTGTCATTTGTACAGAGATGTTCTTCTCCAGATAACTCAAAATGTCCTTACCCCTCAATTCTGTAATCATCACAGCAACGATATCTCCAGTTCCTGCAATATAAAAAGATGTGTCACTGAGCTGACATCTAGACTCAACATCAAGTTATAAAATAAACAAGTTATTTAAATTACTCTGCCATTTGCTGTCACCCTTTACAGTTTAAAATTTCAGATTAAATATTCAAAAGAACTGAAACTGTGATTAGTGTATTCTACTATGAAGAGGCAGTTTTATATTTGCTACCAGAGAGAGTAACTGAAAGGATAGACAGGAAGAGTATTTAGAAACCTCTGAGAGTAATAAAGCCCATGGAAGGTATAGAGCACTGAATTCATCAAGGAAAATCTTGTCAACTGGACTCTGAAGCCAAACTATCCTGAAATACTAGAATCATGGCCCAGTTTTAGGAGAAATAATACTCCAAGCTAGAAGCACAATATCAGAATGGGAATAACCTCAGACGACAAATACAGTGTCCAAACCAAAGTCTACCAGGCATCTTCTCTAAATTATCTTCAACATGCAGCAATAAATCTTCCACTGAAGACCTACAGCAATGGGGAATCTAATCTCTGCTGAAGAAGCCCAGACAGCTCTGTTAGGATTGTGCCTTATATCCACTTGAAATCTAAATATCTGAAACTCATATTTACTGCTCTCAGTTCTGCTCTCTTAGACCAAACAAAAGTCCAGACACCAGGGGTTCTTAACCTGAAGTCTGTGAACTTAAAAAAAAAAAAAAAACACCACCAAAAAACAACCCAACGATATCTGTATCTCAATATAATGTCTCCTCTGTAATCTTAAATATTTAAAAAGAATATTCTGAGAATAGGTCCATAGACTTCAACAGACTGTCAAAGAGCCTGTGGTCAGGACCTTCCACAAAAGCCTCCAAGATACTCCAAATACTCATTTTAATTTTAAATTAAATTTTTTTTCAATTAACTAAAAATTTGTTTTTCCTCTTTTCCCCTCCTCTAACTGAAAAAGAAAGAAAAGCTCTTGTAACAAATATGTATAATCAAAAGAAAATACATTAATGTATACTTTCTTGTATTCACTGTATTTCTTCTTTCCCCTCTTCAATCCCTAAGAACATAATCTACCCCCCATGACTGCCTTTTTTATTTACTCCCTCAATACATTTAGATTTTGAAGGGATACTTGATTCTTATCCTCTTATTAAAATGTTAGCATAATATCATCAAACAACTCCTTCAGATTATTCAAATGAATTTACCTGTCTAGGTTTTCCTTGATTCTCATATTTGCATTTCAAACTTCCTACTCAGTTCTGTTCCTTTCAACAGAAATTCTTGAAAAGTCCTCGATTGAATTAAAGATCCATTTTCCCCTGATAGAATTATACTCAGATTTGCAAGGCACGTTGTTCTCTGTCGTAAAAACATTATATTCCCAAATCTGCTCTTATTTAGGATAAAAACTGCCAGGTCTTGTGTGATCTTAACTATAGTTTTTTGGTACTTAAAACTATTTCTAGATGATTGTGGTATTTTATTTGACGCAAGAGCTCTGGATTTTGGCTATGACATTAGGACTTTTCTGTGATGGATTGTCTAATGTTGGCTACGTGCTATGTGGGGGTTGTGGCAAGATGGGGCAGGGACAAGATATTAGGAAGTAACCGGAGCTCACGCTCCCGAGGCAGGGGGCTGTGCCATGTGGAGTTGTGGTGAACTGGGGTAGGAACAGGATACGGGGAAGTAGCTGGAGCATGTGCTCCTGAGGCAGGGGGCTGTGCCATGTGGGAGTGGGACGGCAGAGAATGAGCTTCCTTTGTCATGTCCTCTCCCTAGGTGTAGCGCTAACCCCAGACGTCTCCTTCCTGTATCCGGGCCTAGCTTCCTGTCACGTCCTCTCCCTTGGTGCAGTGCTAACCCCAGACATCCCCTTCCGGTATCTGATCCTACAATCAATGACTGGTAGGCGGGCTGAGGAGGAGGGGCTAGGAAGGCATATAGGGGCGGTAGGGGTCGGAGCTCGCTCTCTCTTGCTCCTGCTCTCTTGCTCTTGCTTTCCTGCTTGGCCTTGCTGTGATGGCCTCTGAATAAAGCTCGAGTGTTTGCACCTCCTGATCAGCTCGTCTCTGTGTTTACCTGGGTGGGCTCCGAAGACTGGTAAGTATGACCCTGGCAGCCTGCTCCTTATAGGAGGAGAGTGCACGGCACGACCGGCACACTTTTCCTTCTGGAGATTCTTTCAGAAGGTGGATTCTTTCTATTTTCACTTTGTCCTCAGGTTCTAATAAATATACATAGTTTTTATTTATGATTTCTTGAAATACAGTGTCCAGGCCTTTTTTCTTTTAATTAAGGGTTTAAAGGAATTCAGTGATTCTTACATTATCTTTCTTTGATCTGTTTTCCAAGTGGCTATTTTTGATTAGATCTTAGATTTTGTTTTATTTTCAATCTTTTGATTTTGCTCTAATATTTCTTGCTGCCTCATGGAGTCACTGATTCTGTCTGGTCTATTTTAGTTTTCAAGGAGCCTGTTACTTGGGTAAAGTTCACCATTTTCTCTTTTAAACTATTTATTCTCCATTCAATTCTTTCTTTCAGAAGCTTTTATTTCATTTTTTAATTTAGTTGTTACTGTGTTACTATCTCTCTTTTAGGATGATCTCTAGTATTTACAATAATATTTCATCCTGGTCAGTATCTTCTTTGGTTCACTCTTCTCTACAATTTTAGTTTCTGAATTGAACCCTTATATAAAAGTCAAGTTCCACTCTCTGCTTTGGTTTTGGATTGGATAGTCAGCCCTACTTCTTCTCATTCTGGGTCCTTGTACTGACCTCCGTCTTCCAGAGTTAGGTCATCCTGGACTTCTGTGAGGTCTAAGCATTATTTCTTCAGGGCCCTTTATTATGTCTCAGGACAGAGTGCTAGGGAATTCACTTACAGCGGGGCGTAGGGGTAACCCAGTCTGTGCACTGCTATACCACAATGGTCACTGCTATTATGCTTGAATTCTAAGCCTGCCCTGGGGATTTCTCAGGGTGAAGTGCTATCCCCACTTGCTGTACTTGGAAAGAGAACCTTGTAAATTACATATGTCTCTGGCCTGTCTCTGGTTGCACTGGGGGATTGCTGGTTTATTTGCCAGTGCTGGTGCTAGCTTTGCTATCACTTCCCTTTCCTACTGGCTATGGTCTTTTGACTGCCTTTTCTGTGTGCAGTTTTGGGATAGAAAAAAATCATGTAGTCTCTTATTGAATTTCCTGGTATTATTAGGTCTGGTGAGAATTTCAGGTTTTTGTTGGAGTAGTTATGTAGGAGGAGCTGGGTAGTCTGCCTCTCTGTTCAGGCAGCCATCTTTGCTGGAAGTTGATGACTACAATACTGTAAAGTATAACTTAATCATGACCTTAAAAGACTTATGGTGAAACATGTCTGCCACTTCTTGGTAGAGAGGTGGATTAAATGTACAGAATGAGATATATATTTTAGACTTGACCAATGTATTGATTGGTTTTGCTTGATTATACTTATTTGTTACAAGGAAGGGCTTCTATTTGGCAGATTCATAGTGGTAGAATGTGAAAAAAATTGTAAAAGGAGGAAAAAACATCAATGAAATAAGAATATATGGAAGAAAACAAAAAATTAAGAGACATAAACATATGGAGTAATTATGTTACTACTTTGTTAAATTTAATACGCACTTAAAAATAAACTGTACAGCATAGAAACCTACAATTCCATAAACAACTTCTTTCTGGTGTGTGTTGTTTGTATTCTGAAATGTTTGTCAATTAGTCAACAAGTATTTATTAAGCACTTACTATGTGTCAGGCAATGTGCTAAGATCTGAGTATAGATTAAAAAAAAGTCCTTTGTCCAAGAAAAACTAATGGCAGACATAGCATGAAAATAATGTATATATGAAATACATAGAGAGCAGATGGAAAACAACCTAAGAGGGGAAGACACTAGCAGCTCTGGGGATTGAGGAAAGCCTAATATAGTAGGATTTCATCTGAGTCTTGGGAATCTAAGAGATAAGCTAAGAGAGTTAGGGAATCTAAGAGGCAAAGGAGGGCATTCTAGGCATGGATGACAGCCAATGCAAAGGCACTGAGAAGGGTGATGGAGCATCCTGTTCAAAGAATTCTGAACATTTGGATCAGTGTAGCTAGATCATAAGAACATATGGAGGGGGTAAAAAGTGCAAGATGACTAGAAAAGGAAGAAAAGGTCAATTATGAAGAGCTTTCATAGGAAACCACTGGAGGTTATGGAGCAGTGAAGTGACATGGTAAGACCTGTGCTTTAGAAAAAATTACTCTGGCAGATATATGGAGGACGGAATGAAGTGGAGAGACACCTGAGGCAGGGAGACTAATTAAAAGGCTTTTTCAATAGTACAAGCAAGGGGTGAAGAAGGTATAAACGAGAGAGATGTGAATGGAGAGCAAATACACAGAAAACATTGTGAAAGCAGAGACAATAAGATGGATATGGGGGGTGAATTAGAGTGAGGAGTCAAGGACCACTCTGAAGTTAAACTTGGTAACTGGGAAGGCAGTGTTGTCCTTCACAGAAACAGGGACGTTCTAAAGAGGGGAGGGTTTGAGGGACAAAATACTGAGTTCTTTTTCGGACACGCTGAGTTTGAGATGCCTACGGAATACCCAGTGTGAAATGTCAAAAAGACCTAAGTCGACATGAGACGGTGGCTCCGGAAAGAGACTAGAGCTAGATATACGGGTCTAGTAATCATCTGCACTGAAACAGTGAATGAATCCCGGGAAGCTGATGAGATCACTAAGTGAAACAGTACAGATCAAGAAGAGAAGAAGAGCCTTGGGGGGTACTCTTGGTTAGCTGGAATGACATGGATGAAGAACCCAAAAAGGAGACTGTGAAGGAGTAGTTGGACAGACAGAAGGAGGACCAGCAGACAGCAGTATAACGAAGACCGAGAGAAGAGAGTCTAGGGGAAGAGGGAAATCAATGGCATAAAATGCTGCAGCAAATTAAAAAAGGATGAGGATTGAGGAAGAGTCATTGGATTTGGCAAT